CCCCCCCCGTATCTCTTCACCTCTTTTGGAGCCAAGACTGAAATCACCTCAATGTGTCTGATATCCAGACGTTTCCTGGAAGACGACAGAGATTAAACAACCCTTCAGAGTAGTGTGAGTCTTTTTTGAAAACGTGAGACAGACGGAGAGATGGATGGACAGATACTTTTCTTGGTTTTATTTATTACGTAAAACACACGTAATGAGCAGCACAATCATCCCCGATGAAGAGGCTTGTTGATAGTGGATAGAAACCCTCCCTCCGACTATGCAGCACAACGGGCTCTTTATTAAGTAAATGGCCTATTTCCTGGATTAATTCATGTGTACAAAGCTCCTGATAAAGGGAACTTATTATCACTCCTACACTGACGAGCCTCCTTTAATTCCTTAATTAGCAATGCACACTCATTCATTAAGCTGGACTTCTAAGTCTCCGGTAGAATTAAACAAAATTAATAAAGAATCAAAGCAGAAATTAAAATTGTGCAGAGGAGCCGGCGGATTCAATTTAACCCTCGATGTTCACTTTTCCTTTTGGAGGCCGCAGGACCTCGGCTGACGGATTAACAAGGCCTCCTGGTGTCATCACAACAACCACACTATGACTTTACGCAGCGGGACAGATATTCCGATGACGGGCAACAGATGACTCAAATGAAAACAGACAGATCCCCTCAAACAAAATGTCGTTAAACAAGAAGAAAAAACGTCTCTGTCTTTTTCTAGGACATGATGCAGGTGACCTCTGACCCCTGAACTCGCTAAATCTGTTTCCTCTCTTACATGAATAAAGACAGAAGCTGCAGCGACACTCAGCTCCGCAGCTTCGTCGACCTCAACAACGTCGACTGCAAAGTGGTGCTTGAAGAAAAACTGGAGGATTTAAGACAAGATTTGATTTGTGCAGCTCATATTCACAGTTTGTCTCATAGATCTGAACATCCTCTGTTTTTAACTCAACAAGAGTAAAAGAGTCAACGAATCACAATCACACAACTCTTCAACAAAACAACACTTTTTACAACTTTGATCAGAACAAACAGTTTGTGTGAACTGAAAGATTCCCGAGGGTTTCAGCACCACGGTGGTGGACAGCTCCCTCGTCTGTTTGTCTCAATAAAGCTTTATTTAAAAAGATATTTTAAACAAACCCGGCCTCCTCCTCCATGTTGGCAGAGAGGACATGGGCCAAACTGTTTGTTGGTGTTTTCCAACATTTAATTCCTGGATCTTGACGAGTAAAGTTTATCAACTGATCGATGATTTCATGACATTTTAGGTGTTTACTCTGTGGAGACGCCGGCTCCGCCATGAGAACATACAAACAGGAAAGAATCAAAGAAAGTAGAATTAGACAGAAGGAGAGTTTCAGTTCTTTTGATCTCATTTAAGAGAAAATTCCACCTTATTCTCTGTCATCACTGAAATCATGATCTTCTTTAATCAGGCTCCTGACGAGGTTTCCCTCCCTCGCTCATTTCCTGCCTCTAACCTGTCCTTTCAATCTGCTATCTGTCTCTCCTTCACCTTCACCTTCCCTCACTCCTTTCTTCTTCTCCCCTCTATCATCCTTTCTGGAACATCCTATCTGTCCTGCGACTCATCTTCACGTTTTACTTTCTGATTTCATCGTCCCTCAGTCCTTCCTCCCACATCATTACCTCTGACTGTTTGTTCTTAAGCACCATTGCTCCATTCATCTGTAATTTATTATCGGCCCTTCCCCTGGATTGTCCCCGCACGCACACGCAAACACACACACACACATTTATTTAGTGGCTGGTGCAAACCTGGGAATTGTATTTTATATTCTTGGGGTTGAAACCACACAGAAAAACTCATCCCAGCCCATTTGTGTCCAGATATCGTAGTAAACGTGTGTGTGTGTTATAATCGGTGCACCGACCTGTCACAACAGTTCTTGTTTCCCAAACCCACGTGTTCTTGCAGACTTTCATTTCTCTGTGTTTTTAAATTCACACTTAGTAGAAAATATTGTTGCAAAGCTCAACGCCCCAAAATAAAAGTAGAATGACACCGAGACATCCAGCGAGATTATGAAACCGTCCAATCCAACAATGTTGAAGAATCGTATCCACACCCAAGTTTTACTGTAGTGAATGTTACCCACTAGATTGAATGAATAATTTATTGTATGATTTTAATGTGGATTTATTAGAGAGTAAGTTTGTTTTCCTCTGGGTTTGGATTCTTGTTTCCTGTGTGTCTTCGTTTTCTTGTCGGAACGTCGATCTTAGATTTATTATTCAATCAGAAGAATTTAATGTGGATTCAGTTTGTGACCCGTGTTCCACAGAAGTTTAAAACCTTTTCCTGTGGAATTTTCTTCTTCTCGTCTGCAGGACTCTTTGCATTTTAAAGATGAACAGAGTCTGGAAGTCTCTATATTATCTATGTCTGCGTCAACAGAATGTGACACGGCGTGAACGCAGCCCTGTGAAAGGCGTCCGGGAGAGACGGTTTATCTGCGTCCTGCAGGTACTCGCCTCGCTCGCCTCGCTCGCTCCTCGCTCGCTCCTCTCTCTCCAATCCCACGATGGATTTGTGTGTTTTGACTCAGCAGCGTCTCACTGCCTCTCGTGTTGGACCTGGCAGCTCCATCACTGAGACGGATGCTTATTTACACAAGACGAGCACAAATCACCTCCGTCTCATTCAGGGGACGTGACTCTCTGAGGCGCTGACGTCTTAAAGCGCTGGACGTCTTTCGGTGATGTCATGGTGTTTGACTCTGCAGAGCGGAGGGAGTCACAGCACTTTCTCCTCCAACAGCGAGTTAAAGCTCTGACGGTTTAATCTGCTGCACGTTCCACACGTTTTTAAGATGTTTTCAACCTGAATCTCTTTATTCACGTCTGCACCGCCTCGTGCAGATGGTTTGTATCTGCCGTCGTCTCTGATTGGTTGAACCCGAGGCGAGCAGCGTTTTTCCAAATCATATATTTGTAACAGGTGACTCATGTCTGAACGAGCGAGTCCTCCCCGACGCGGCTGAATGTGCTCCGCAGCGTCTCGCCTCAGCGATGAGGTCACTCGGCGCCTGACAGCGACTTCCTTTTTGCCTCCTCCGTGTTCAGCTCTGATCTTGTCTGCCGACTTCATTTCGCTCCTCGCCGCCGTCTTATCTGCTTCCTCTTTATCGGCCACAACATTTTAAGAGGCGCCGAGCCGCCTTCGACCTCCTGTTTCAGATGTAATTCATTATTAGTGCCACATGAAAAACTGTCAGTTTAAGTGTAAACGTCATTTTCCGAGGAGGCGCTGTGAGAGAACGACCTGTGCTTCACATGTTGGAAAGTAAATGATGGAGAACTCTGAGGATCACTGAGAACATGTGTGAGTGCAGAACCAACTGTCGGAATCTGTCCTCAAATTCCCGTTACACAACTCTTTGTGGAGTTACATCACCAGAGCGATGACCCGGAGCACTCGGGCCTCTGGACTTCTTCCAACATCTGGCTCCTCTCACACCATCCATCTGTTTCTTTGACTCACCGGAGGTCGTAGAGGAGTAAACTCAGCAGGAGGCTCCAGGCGACTCTCTCCTTCGCTTCAAGCTCCACCTGTTGTGTCCTGAGGGGACCCCGGGCCAGATGGGTCCCTCCGGTGGGTTCTGGGTCGGCCCGGGAGTCTCTCCGCTGAGGTGGACGTACCCAAAAAAAAAAAAACCCTGAGCAGGACGGAGCTGATGCAGGAGGCGTCGTAATGAGACGCCCCCCCCCCCCCCCCCCCAAAAAAAGAAGGAGCAGCAGCTCTGAACGTCCTTTTTCTTAAACTGCACTGAGGCTGAAGTTCTTTCTGCAGAGTCGACTTCATTACCTGCATTCAAGTGTTGTTGGTTCACACTGATGGAGTGTGTGTGTCTGTGTGTGTGTGTCTGTGTGTGTGTGTCTGTGTGTGTCTGTCTCAGTCTGTCAGCAGCTGATATCATGCTCGGCAGGGGCAGCACTTCTGCCACCTAGTGAGCTCCTGACCGCACTGCACGTTACCTGGAAACCAGCAGGAGACGTCTGTTCGTGCAGAAGCAGAACGTTACTACACATTTAAAAACACACACTCATGATTCAGCCTCTTTGTTTCCTGCAGACTTCACTTGTGCTTTTTATTATTTCTAACAGACACAGAATCGATTTCTTTGATTCAGTCTCAGACAGATTCAACTGTGAACAAGATGCTTTTGTTCCTTTCACAGATTCTCACAGTTTTAAAAAAGAATCATTGATTAATGTCAACGTAAGATTTCCATCACCTGCTCTGTTCAAGACTCATTTATCTTCCCCTTCCTGTGATGATGATGATGAAGATGAAGATGATGATGATGATGATGAAGATAACGATGATGATGATGAGGATAACTGGTTTTGTTGTGTTGGTATTTTAACTTGATTCAGTTCATACGAGGTTGCTCCCGTCTTCCTCCATCTTGTCTCTTGTCCAATATCACATCAATATTTCACAGGTGAAGTCAATGACAGTCAAGACGGATTAAAATCAAAGTTTCCTACGCTGTCGTTGTCACCCCCCCCCCCATTTTAAAATGTCTGAATCAATGCAGACCTCCTGACTACTTCTTCTCCACATGATTGTTTTTTTCAAGCATCTCACATATTAAAGTCAGTAGCTCTGAGTGTCTCTCTCCTGGTTTCTACTTCAGATTAGATGTAAAGTTAACATGTGACTGTAGGAAACATAAAACTCGACATGCACGGATCACTGCAGAGACGTATGATGTCATCCAGTTGGTATCTGGGATGTTTCTATAATTTAAAATCGTGCACGGATATTGAAATGTTCTGGTTGTAAAGTCTTTTAATCCACAACTCGTCCTCCTCCTCTTCGTCACTCAGGCTGCTTCCTGCAGGAACACGTCACAGTACGATTGTCTTCCTCTTGTCCACAGATGAGTTCGTTCAGTACGAGGGCCCTGACGCTGCTCTCGTCCGTTTTCGGGGCCTGCGGCCTGCTGCTGGTGGGCGTCGCCGTGTCGACGGACTACTGGCTGCTGATGGAGGAGGGAATCATCCTGCAGCAGAACCAGACCACCGAGGTCAAGATGGCGCTGCACTCCGGCCTGTGGAGGGTCTGCTTCGTGGCAGGTTAGTTACATGTGACTGTGGTTTCCTGTCTGTTGATGTGTTGTTCAGAAGCTCGTTTGATTCCATTGATTGAAATGTTCGACTCATTTAAAGTAAGAAGTGGGTCACCCCTTCCTCAGCTCTCAAAGATCAGCTCCTCACTGCTGCACACACTCAGCGGGGCGGACACCACAGATACTGACTGTCCTTGTTGCTGTGGCTGTCTCTGTGAGTCGGGTCATGATGGTGTGGCTCCAGGGAGGCGGCCATGTTTGTGTTTCCCTGTTGTCTGACGCCTGGTACAAAAGGTCAGACGAGGAAAAGGCTGGTGGCATTTGGAGTGTGTGTGTGTGTGTAGTCAGCTCGGACATGTCCCTACATGTTATGCTTCATTTAATCCGTCCATATGCTTCTTTTGAAACTGTCGTCCATGTTGCAGCATGAAGTCGAGCACACACGGCTCCTCGTGATGTAACAGCCTCTGTGTCTCAGGCCGACGGGCTCTTTCCAGTCTACCGAGCTTCTCTCTAACACCCTGAGCTGTGTGGTCGGACGCTTGACCCTCGTTTCCTGGAACATTTGAATGATTTTACTTCGGATGCTGAGCTTCCGAATCTACTGGAGAGCCAGAGAGTCGGCCTGAAGTCATTCAGAGCCTTATTCCCCCCGAGGTGTTCGGAGACGGCTGAGCTCGATTTCTTTGAGGGTTTTGACTCTCTCTCTTTTGGGAGATTGAATTTTGAACACGAGTAGAAACCTGCAGATACAAAAACTCCTCAAACCGCCAACATGAACGTTTGTCCTCTCCGCCACTTAGTCTGAAGAGAATCTTGTTTCGAATTAAAGTCGTGAAAACCCAACGTACTCACACTGAAGCCAGGATACTTGAACAAAGCTTTATTTAAACATGCGTCCACCATTCAAACCTGATATCATAACATATTTCACTGAACAAGGACGTGAACTGAACTTTAATTCTTATTCTTGTGGACTCAAGCTTGTGTCTGTATTCAGCTCTGCCTTCTCTCTCGGCTCAGACCTTGTTTTCTCCTGAACCTCTTCACCTCCGTCTGTCTCCGTCTCTGATTCATGTCTTTTCTCTTTCTTCTATTCTCTGTTTATCTGTTTGTCTTCGTCTCGTTCTCTCACCTCGTCCTCTTGTCGTCCTCTCAGAAAATCTCTCTGTTATTCAACCCTTTTGTTTTTGTTGGATTTTCCTGACCTGAAGACGACCCCGAATG